AAATCATTTTGTCACAACACACAGTATCAAATATTCCCCTTTCTTGAAAATGATGCTTTGTAGTTGAAGAAAGCAGACTGACAAGTGGCATCGCATCACTCCATTTTGTTTTAAATTGTGGGGTTTATCACAGCATGAAGATTCACAGTTGATGTTAGGAAATAAGGCTGAATAAATTGGAACAGAGTGTGTTATCTGGACTGTCAGAAAGTTAAGTGTGACATCTCATGTACAAATAACCCTTCAGAGCACAATAACACAACTATTTTGCAAGCCACTTTCCTCCACTTCATCTCTCTCTCTCTCTCTCACATATGCTATAAAGGAAACAAGATAGATTCATCACAGAGAATTAGGAAAGATTCAGATTTTTAAATAATAATAATAATAATAATAATAATAATAATAATAATAATTTTTATTTAATACCCCGCCCCTCTGAGCACAATCGGGGCGGCTTACATCATAAAATTCAACAGTAGTTAAGAACAAGTACCCCCCCTCCCCCCTTAAAAATGTAATTAAACTCAATACTATTTAAAAGGATATAAGGAGGTAAAAATGAAACCATGATTGTTTGACTAATTCATGGTTACTTGTTATACGTTCAAAAAGTGGCTTCAGAAAACAAAAAAGTGGTTTGTGTTTTAATAATGAATCAGTGTCTGAAATAATTTTAATAATAATTTTAATAATAATTTGAAACAATAATAGATTGTAAACCATAGTTTGCAATCTATGGTTTGTGCTGTTTTCATCTGCTATTATGTTTAAATTCAGAAATAACATTACTCTGCCCCAAGAGACTGCTGAGCCTTAGAAAAAGGAATTACAGTACTATACCTCAAAAAGCTGAGGTACCATGGTAACAGAAGTGAACTTATGAAGCTAAGAGGTGAGCGGAAAGAAAACAAAAAGCAGATATCTAGCCCAACACTACAGTTTGCCTGGAACATATTAATTATTCTTTAAAAAAATCACCCTGTCATTCCATATTTAATGCCCAAGGCAGCTAACAGTAAATCAGAAAGAGTATAATAACATCCCACCAAATAGAAAAAGATGAAAACATGTAGTCAGGTAAGGCTCAAAAGCATTAGGTAAAATAATAATAATAATAATAATAATAATAATAATAATAATAATAGTTTTTATGTATATTCCCCGCCTCTCCCTACGGATCGAGGCGGGATTACACGATAAAATATACAATAGTGTACAAAATACAATCAGTACAATCAGTGCATAAATAAAAGCAATGAAATAGGACAAATTAAATAAAATAAAGAAGAATAAACTAAAATAAACTAGCCGGTAGTCATCAGTACCCAAAAGTTAGGTTTTAAGGTAGTACTATAGAGATTCGCTAGGGAGATCAGATGGATAGGTCTGCCGGAAGAGGTCCGTCTTAAGTGCCTTCTTAAAGGCGTTTAAAGTAGTGGTAAGACGGATCTCTTCCAGTAAGCTGTTCCATAACTTGGGGGCTGTAGCCGTGAACAATCTTTGGGAAGTAGAACTCAATCTAGTTTTATAATG